TATTCATTTTTCACTAGTATTTCTTTCATCTTCATTTCTCTTTGAGAAATTTGAATGACTCCTGCTGGTTAGCCTTCTTAGATGAAGCATTGTCAATTATTATTCATTTTTCACTAGTATTTCTTTCATCTTCATTTCTCTTGCTTTTTATTGTAACTCCCATCCATAAGATGAAGAGAATATAGCTATATGGCTAAATTTGAATGACTCCTGCTGGTTAGCCTTCTTAGATGAAACATTGTCAATTATTATTCATTTTTCACTAGTATTTCTTTCATCTTCATTTCTCTTGCTTTTTATTGCAACTCCCATCCATAAGAAGTAGAAGTAGAGAATATAGCTATATGGCTAAATTTGAATGATGCCAATTAATACTAAATTTTGACTAGTATTCCTTTTAACTTTTACTTTACCTATTTATAGGCGTAGAAATAGAGAATCAATTGATATCTGGACATACATGAATAATAGATATATATCAGTGAAACATGTAAAGAGTGGGGTTGTCTGATGATTGAAACATGTAAAGAATGGGATTGTCTGATGATTGCTAAAGATGGTAACCAACTCATGAAACGTCCTGTTGCATCCCATTTTAGGCAGCTGTTTTGTTTTATTTTTATGTTTTGGCACATCAGTTTTACGTAGATCACACAGTACAGATAGGAAAAAAAAAATTACAAAACCTCCTACAGTAGGTAGCGAAGGAAAGCGAGAAGGAGGTACTAACCATAAGCTACAAGACAGAATGCATGGTCATCAGTAAAAGGATGAGCCTTAAATGCGAGACACTAAAATCAAGCATGTGCGGAAGTTTAAATATCTGGGAAGTGTTTTGAAGGAGGACATTAAGTGTGACGCTGAGATCCGAAGACGTATTGAGATGACCAATGACAAATTCCAAATGCTGTGCACAGTATTGCGAAACAAGAGGATTTATTTGGTAACAAAGAAAAGAATACTGAGCTGTTACGTGACATCTGTCCTCCTTTACGACAGCGAATGCTGGACGGTCTCCTCAAAGTTGAAAAAGAGAATCAATGGAAAAGGAGATATGATTCTACAGAAGGATGATAAGGATATCATGGACCGAGTTATGCTCAAACAGTTAACCTCCAAACAAAAACAAAACTTTACGAAAGTATAAATATACATTTTATATTAAAAAAATATCAGAAATACATTTTTTATATGAAAAATTATCAACAATGCTTATTTTTAATAAAATTCCTAACAATATATCAATCAATATGAAAGAACACTTTCATGATATTAATCCATATCTTACAATTATTTAAAGAAATCAAACTCTATTCCAAAATATAACTTCAAAAAAACTACAATATAAAATACACATATCACCGCTTCTAGTAATTATGTACACACAAACATGTATATGCACAAAAGCTGAGTATCATCTACCATGTATTCAATTGTGAAAACAGAATAACATATTTTTATTACTTTAACGTTAAATGACCTACAAGTAGTCAAACTAACCAAACCAAACCAAATCACCCTAATCCGCTTAAAATACTATAAAGAATTCTTTCGTGACATTAAACCAGATAATATCCTAAAATTTCATAAATCAAACTGTTTTCTAAAATATAACTTCAACAAAGCAACAACATAAAACACACATATCACCGCCTCTAGTAATAGTATTCACACAAACATGTATATGCATAAAATCTGAGTATCATCAACAATTTACTCAGCTGTGAATGCAGAATGATATATATCTGGAAAGAAATTAAATTTCTGCATTAAATGACCCATATAGGAGTTGATATGCTGTTAAAGAAACAAATAATTTCCAAATTAAAAATATATTCTCAGAGTTTCTCCTCTAGACTTCTCATTTGTGGAACTCTCTTCCGGCTTCTTGCTTTCCACTCGACTTCTATCTTGAAAAATTTAAATGCAATGTAAATCGTTATTTTCTGTTTTCTTAATTCCCTCTTTAATAATGTCTATCTTTTTCGTCCTATTTTCTCAATCAGTAACCCCTTGCGTCTTATCGGCTTTATTGCCTTGCATGAGGTGAAAGGATTCAAAAAGACGCAAAGTGTAACTGAGAGCGTAAGAAAGAGTGAAGACAATAAAGGAACATGACACAGAAGATGACGATTGGCACTGCATTTATAGTATTGAAGTTCCTAGCTGACAGAAAAAACAGAAAAGACGGAGAGATTTCTACAAGTGAGAAGTGCGAGTAAAGAAACTGTTAGCATAGAACTTACGGTTCAACTAGCAAATAAATCAGTGAATCTACGAGATCTAACTGTCAGTTTAGTTCTGGCTTTAAATTCGTGAATCGATGTACCATACATGAAAGCCCAACAGAACAATTACCAGGTGCCATATATGGTCTGGTGCACCTTCTGTTTACCTCGGAGTTCTTGACAAGATCCAGAGGCGGATATGTAATATTATTGGCCCTGATCTGGCATCTCTTCTACAGTCACTCTCTCACAGACGTGCCGTCGCTTCTCTCTGTCTTTTTTTTACAAATACTTTCATGGTAATTGCTCCGATTGCTGCTTTCACTTGTTCCCAGACTTCAAGCGCCCTACGAGGCTGGCATCCCGCTTTCACCCTTTCACTGTAGAAACTTTTAAATGTAGCCGTCTCTTCTACTCCAATAGCTTCATGCCTGGCACCTCTCGCCCGTGGAACACCCTTCCCTATTACTGGTTCCCCTGAGAGCTATAATCTCCAACTATTCAAATGTAATGTCAATCGACATCTCCGTTTACCTTGATCCTATCCACTATCCTTCTTCTCATCTTTTCTTCTATCACTCCTATCTGCTCTTGCTCCATATCTTCTGCAACCCCCTGCATCCTAGTGGCTTCCCGCCTTGCTCGGGGCGTAATGCTTAAAAAAAAAATAAAAAAAAATAAAAAAAATAAAATAATTTATAAAAAGGCCCAATATGATATAGAAATTTTAGATGCTTGGAGAAAAATGTTGTTAAATTGTAAATTGACTTTTTAGTCAAAGCAGGAAAATTATTATTGATACGAGAGAAAAATGTGGACAAAGAAAGAAAGGTCGAAAGATAGAAAAAAAAAGGAAAACTTTAAACAATGAATGAAAAGAGAGGAGGAAAAATTAAAAGTGAGAAATAGCAAGTATAATGAAGAATGAAGAAAAGACTATATAAAGAGAAAGAAAAAGGAAAGGTAACGTAACAAACGAAGGAAATATAGAAAAGGTAGAAGGAAAATGAAAAATACATGAATAAAAATAAATATGATAAAGAAAGAAGAAGAAAAAAAAAGAATGAAAGAAAGATATAAAATAATAAATGTGTTATAGTGGAACACATCTATTCTATTGTTAATAGACTCTCCCACCTGAGTAGTCGCTCAGTGGGTTCGGTCAGTCAGTCGATGTCGGACGATTGTTAGTCGGATATTAAAGTATCAGCCACCCCAAATAGATTACTGCGTCATTACCTATTATATCAAGTTCCTAACGTATTGTACGTCGAACCTATTTTAGGACCAACTTAGTACAAATACAAGCCTCCACTATGAAATAACTCTACAACAATAAAATAAAAGTATAAGCGTCATGTCGAAATGTGAATGAAATTGCAATGTTAACACGAGACGGAAAATATGACACCAAAATCCGAAGACATTATTAATAGCAAAATAACATACAATAGAATCCCTGACAACCGGATATGAGTAATTGGTTACAAAGTCCGGATATGAGGGGTTATATTTAGAGTAAAATAAAACAACTGAAATCAGGTTTAACATTTATTTTCAATGTTTTATAGTAAACAAAATAAGCCAATGGTGAGTGAAATATAACGGAATTGATTTTACGGAAATAGAAATAAATTATGTGTTATAATAGAACACACCTATTCTATAGTTAATAGACTCTCCCACCTATAATAAGTAGGAGTAGTAGTAACAGTCGTCGAGAGAGTTGGTCAGTCAGTCGACTGGCTGATCGGTTGAACTCGCGGCCTTCGGGCGGGGAGGAACCCGAACGAGGCTACGCCGAAGGGCGGATTCTCTTTCAAGGAACTAAACCTACCCAGAACCCGTTTATACGGGTTCAATGGGCATATTTTTGGCCGAGCCTACGGGCTCGGAGATCCCACGTTAAAAAGGTCTTGTGCCACAAGACGCCCTCGTGGGGGTGGGTGACTGAATATCTTCGGTCAGTCAGTCGACCGGCTGATCGGATGAACACTCTGCCTTCGAGCGGGGAGAAACCAGAACGAGGCTACGCCGATGGGCGAAGTCTCTTTAGGTGAGGTAAACCGACCCTGAACCCATTTATACGGGTTCAAAGGGCATATTTTTTGGCCGAGCCCACGGGCTCGGAGATCCCACGTTAAAAAAGCCTTGTGCCACATGATGCCCTCGTGGTGGGGGTGACTAAATTCCGTTCGGTCAGTCAGTCGATGCCGGACGACCGTTAGTCGAATACTAAAGTACCAGCGACCACAACTAGATTTCTCTGCGTCATTACCTATTATATCAAGTTCCTAACGTTTTGTACGTCGAACCTATTTTAGGACCGACTTAGTACAAATACAGGCCTCCACTGTGAAACCACTCCATTAAAAGTATGAAAGAAAAAAATGAATAGTAAGATGGAAAATTCAAACTGGGGAAATAAAAAAATAAGTGAAAAAAAACAAAAAAAAACGGAAGAAGGAAACAATAGATAAAGAGAAAGAAAGAAATATATAACCTAACAAAGGAAGAAAATATAGAAGGAAAATGAAAAATAAATGAGTAAAAAATAGTATGATAAAGAAAGAAGAAAAAAAAGGAAGTAAAGAAAAAGAAAGAATGAAAGAGATAAAATAATGAAAAAGAAAAGAAGAAAGAATGTAATGTAAGAAGGAAAAATTCAAGCTGAGGAAATAAAAAGTAAGTAAGAAAGAAGAAAATTGCAAATAAAGGGAAAGAAAGAAAAACAACCTAAGAAATAAAAGAAATATAGAAAAGATAGAAAAATTAAAAATAAAAGAAAAATAAGTATGAGAAAGAAAGAAAGAAAGAAAAAAGAAAGAAAGAGAGAAAGAAGAAAGAAAGAAGGAAAAAAGAAAGAAAGAAAAAAAGAAAGACAGAAAGAAAGAAAAAAAGAAAGAAAGAAAAAAAAGAAAAAAGAAAGAAAGAAAGAAATATAAAATAATGAATGGAGAAAATAAACAAAAGATTTAATATAAAATGAATGTAAACGGAAAAAAGAAAGAGACAAAGGAACTAAATATGAAAAAAGATTAAAAAAAAAAGCGAGAGAAAGCAGAAAAAGGAAGACGTAAAAAGATGACGAAGAGAAATAAACTTGAAAAAAAAAAAGAAAGAAAGAAACTAAAAAGAGGGTGAATGAATGAACAGTAATAACGCAAAAAGTTTGGAAATTAAAATAAAAAATTGAAAAAAGAAGAAAATAAAAAGAAAGATAACAAAAAGAGCGTAAGAAAACTATAAGAGAAAAAAAAAAGGATGTAAGGATAATGCAACTAAATTTATATATAAATCTTTCAAACAAAGCTACGACAGCAAAAATATATACAACACACTGCCTGGCCAAGGGATTGAACTCACAATTATTATGTCGCAAAAATCACGAACCAATGCTTTAATCCAGCCGACAGAAAGAATACAATTTAAAAAAATAAGTTATTTTTATAGAATTTCACTGAGAAGATAAAACGAAAAAAGATACTGGAAATGAAGAAAGATTAAAAAAGTTAACAAAATAGAATAAATAAAACTATAGATGCCGACAAGAATGTATGAGTAATCACATCTTAAAAAAAACATTTGAAACGCTAATATATATAATTGATCAGGGAGGGGGTATAGATAGTGATGTAATGTTAACTGGTGCAAGTGATAAGTTTTCAAGCCCCGGTAAATGTCGGAATTTCGATTTCAGATTGGCACAACACGATCACATTCCTAAATTTCTTCTTCTTTATGTATCTTGTCCCTTCAAGATATAGGTAATCATGGCCCTCCACATCTTCTGAAGCTGACCAAGTATGTCACATGCTGCTATCCTCTGTTCGTCTTTGTCTAAATTTGTTCTGTGAGTATCAGATTTTCCAAGCCCTCTTTTCTCGTTACGTGCCCCAGAAATTTCATCTGCTTCTTCCTGGTGTTGAGTATATTTCTTTCTTGTTCCCATTCTCTCTTAGACCTCGCCGTTGCACACATGTTCTCTCCAAGGTATCCTCAGCATCCTTCTGTAGAAATTTCAACTGTCTCTTCCTGATGTTAACTATAAGTTTCCTTTTTGTTTCCATTTTCCCTAAAACCTCTTCATTGCTCACATTTTCGGTCCATTGTATCCTCAGCATCCTTCTGTAGAAATTTCAACTGTCTCTTCCTGATGTTAAGCATAAGTTTCCTTTTTTTTTCCATTTTCTCTAAAACCTCATCGTTGCTCACATGTTCGGTCCATGGTATCCTCAGCATCCTTCTGTAGAAATTTCAAATGTGTCTTCCTGATGTTAAGTATAAGTTTCCTTTTTGTTTCCATTTTCTCTAAAACCTCATCGTTGCTCACATTTTCGGTCCATTGTATCCTCAGCATCCTTCTGTAGAAATGTCAACTGTCTCTTCCTGATATTAAGTCTAAGTTTTATTTTATTCCATTTTATCTTTTATCACCGTTGCTTATATTTTCGTTCCCTGGTATTCTTAACAACCTTCTAGAAGAATCACATTTCTGTTGTTTCACATCACTTTTTCGTTTTTGTGATGATTACATTGATCTAAGAATACCACAATATTCAACACCACAACAACTCGTTTTTACTTACAATTCTTACTACATTCACCATAATACCTCATTGTCTCTATGAAAATACTAACTAGTCCCCATATGTACAATTCGTTGTCTGTGAGGGAGGGGAATAAGACAACAATTTAAAACTAGCCCTAATGAGTATAAATAATGCAGGGCTTTAATAATATAAAACATTCATTCACCCCCAAGCACTCACTCAAACACACACTCATCCAGACACAACAATTACGAAAATCACACTAGAAATGAAAAGTGCCCCGCATCCACCAGAGAACTGACACCACTGACCACCTAACGAGATGGAGAATTAAACTAAAGAAAAATAGGGACAGAAATAAGAGGTGCCCAAAGATGAGAGAGCCGAGTTCCAATTCCATCCAGTTTCGATATGTCTACTCACGCTTGGAATTGGGAAACGTATGAATTTGGCTATTCCCCGCCATCCATAGATTAATTAATAGGATTTGTATCAGTCAAACATTATTATATTCCATCAAAATTCTTCCAATATAAAAAATATTTTTGGCTTTAAATGACCTGCAAAATGTGGATAACCCGTAAAAAACTATTAACTCAATCAATTAATTACAGTCGTTGTGCACAGTGAGAGATTGGATTTTACAACATAATTAATTTTATTTTAGTTTTGCATGCTAATTTTTAGACTTGGTAGATGTTTCTGTTTGGAATATTGGCGCATCCATAATCTTCCTGTTCGATATCTGGCCTAAAGCTAAATATATCCACAAGATCTAAAAGGGGTAATAATGGATAAAGAGGAAGATAAAGAAGTATTTGAGTAAGAGAGAGAGAGAGAGAGAGAGAGAGAGAGGGGAGAGAGGGAGGGGGAGAGAGGGAGGGAGAGAGAGAGATGTAAGGCACCGATTCAAAGATCAAAGGAGTCAGACGGGTAAGTGGCTAAAAGAAACGGTAATGAACAGCCCTAACGTATTAACTGTTGCAGAAAGATCCAAATTTGTTTCGCAACGACATCCAAATCTCATTTTTTTTTCTTGCAACCTTTCATCTTGCAAATCAGCACGTTCTCCAACTCTTATTTCTTCTTTAATATAATTCTTTCACTGATTACATTCGAAAAAAAAAAAAGAAAAGAAGAATGAACGAGAAGAAAAAGGCTTTGTTTCAATTTACCCAAGCCCTACAAAGGAATTTCTGGAATGCTGTCATCTGAAAGGATCGATCCCTTTGGACAAGTGCAAAGGTATGCGCGCATAGATGCTCTCCGCTTCCGTAAGACGCCGACCTACCTGCAAGCTCTCTATCGAGACCGTCAGGTTTCAAACGCATGGAATAAAAATAACATTTACTCCTTTAGAAACAGTTCGTTTTTATTATTATTATTATTATTTTGGATGCAGATAATTAAAGAAATATTGACTTCGCCTGTGATGAGGATATCGATAATCGATTAGTAGAATAAAAAAAACGAAAGAACTTCAAACAATATGTTAACAATAAACCCGCTCTCATACAGGCGCAGGGGGAGGAATCACTGTGTTAATTTAAAACCTAAATTTGAATAAAGAATTTTAAAAAAATAAAAGAACAATGCAAAATACGGTATACATTTCCCAAGAATCTGTTACTTCTGTCTAAATTTTTAAGGCCAGAATCATCATGAATTACTACTTAACAATAGTTAATTCTGATCCCTGAAATCCAGTACATAGCCTATAAGATAAATATATATAGATATTTTCTAAAGCCAGGAGTTAATTATTATGTACAAGAGCTAAAGCTCAAAACTGCATATATATATATATATATATATATATATATATATATATATATATATATATATATATATATAAAGAAAAATATAGAGAAAAAACAAACAAAAATCTTAATATGCAATTATGCTGTATTAATGTTAATATAAAGTCAACGTCGGACGTTTTCAGGACATTTTCATTTAAACATAATTAACATTAGAATATATAATATATATATATATATATATATATATATATATATATATATATATATATATATATATATATATATATATATATATATCGAAAGTTCCTAAACTACACACACACACATATATATATATATATATATATATATATATATATATATATATATATATATATATGCGTGTGTGTGCGTGTGTATTTATATATATATTTTCATTATCGTCGTCGTCGGCATCCGTCCGTCTCGAGAGACGATGGAATAGTGTGTATTATATGGAGAACTAGGGCTGCCCGGACGTGTAGTTCCCCTTCTCGGCCGTGCTAGCAAAGTCCAAATGAAAGGATAAACCAATAGAGTTTGGTACCAACACGGCTGCAGAAGTTGCTGGAAGGTAGTACAAAGTGCCGTCCATTCGCCTTAGGGGCTCCACTCCGTCCACCCAGTCTGTCCTGCTATTTACCCATAGCTGGAGGGAGAAGAAGAAGATTCACACATTTCCCAAGCCAGTATGTGAAAGTAATGGATTCGACTGGAATTCGAACTCGGCTCTCTGATTCCTTAATGCAAGTCGCCATATATAACTCCACCGTGCCTCCTCCAAACAAGTTAACACTTAGAGGCGACAGTCTGTTTCATGCTAGATGCAATTGGGGCCTGACGATTGCATCTAGCATGAAACAGAGACTGTCGCCTCTAAGTGTTGACTTCTATGTTCACTTTTTTATATTACACACGCTCTATCTCTGATATTGAACACTTTATCCCATAAATATAGCACATCTTAAGACTATATTTCTTCATATATATATATATATATATATATAATTATTTTTTATAAAAAAATTATAACATAAGTATGTTATAAAATCACTACAAAAATAGCCATTTTGTTTCAACACACTCTGTGTCTTATCAAGTGATGATGTTGAAAATAAAATAAATGGTTTTAAAAGTTTCAGATTAATTAACGATCCTACACTAGGAGGAAACATTGTTACAAAAGCTAGAATAACCAATCAAAAACCAAGTATTGAAAGATTCAAAAGCTTGACAACGAAATCATGCTATAATAGCTTTTCAGATCTTTAAATACGTGTAATATTAAAAATAATTTATACTAACTAATAATTATAAAATTATATGATAAAATTTAATATTAAAATTGAAAACTGGCAATTTTAAAATCCAAATTTAATCACTATTAAGTTTAAAAACTACAAAATTATTGAGAAAAGAAAAAATATATATATATATA